ATGTGGCGTTCCAGAGAGCAAGCCATGAACGACCTTTTTACCCCCCCTCCAGGTAACGACCTTTACCCAGGAATCATCAAACTATGAAGACCCGTGTCGCGCAGGCTGGGCCGTCGAGGGCGGCCGAGGGAGGGGAGGGCGGGGAAGACGACGGGCACTCCTGTCATGTGGCGTTCCAGAGAGCAAAACATGAACGACCTTTACCCCCCCTCCAGGTCACGACCTTTACCCAGGAATCATCAAAATATGAAGACCCGTGTCGCGCAGGCGGGGCCGTCGAGGGCGGCCGAGGGAGGGGAGGGCGGGGGAGACGACGGGCACTCCTGTCATGTGGCGTTCCAGAGAGCAAACCATGAACGACCTTTACCCCCCCTCCAGGTAACGACCTTCACCCAGGAATCATCAAAATATGAAGACCCGTGTCACACAGGCTGGGCCGTCGAAGGCGGCCGAGGGAGGGGAGGGCGGGGGAGACGACGGGCACTCATGTCATGTGGCGTTCCAGGTAGCAAAACATGAACGACCTTTACCCCCCCTCCAGGTAACGACCTTCGCCCAGGAATCATCAAACTATGAAGACCCGTGTCGCGCAGGCTGGGCCGTCGAGGGCGGCCGAGAGGGGGGGGGGGGGGGGGGGGGGGGGGGGAGCTGACGGGCACTCCTGTCATGTGGCGTTCCAGAGAGCAAAACATGAACGACCTTTACCCCCCCTCCAGGTAACGACCTTTACCCAGGAATCCTCCAAATATGAAGACCCGTGTCACACAGGCTGGGCCGTCGAAGGCGGCCGAGGGAGGGGAGGGCGGGGGAGACGACGGGCACTCATGTCATGTGGCGTTCCAGAAAGCAAACCATGAACGACCTTCACCCCCCCTCCAGGTAACGACCTGTGCCCAGGAATCATCAACATATGAAGACCCGTGTCGCGCAGGCTGGGCCGTCGAGGGCGGCCGAGAGGGGGGGGTGGGCGGGGGAGCTGACGGGCACTCCTGTCATGTGGCGTTCCAGAGAGCAAACCATGAACGACCTTTACCCCCCCTCCAGGTAACGACTTTTACCCAGGAGTCATCAAAATATGAAGACCCGTGTCACACAGGCTGGGCCGTCGAAGGCGGCCGAGGGAGGGGAGGGCGGGGGAGACGACGGGCACTCCTGTCATGTGGCGTTCCAGATAGCAAAACATGAACGACCTTTACCCCCCTCCAGATAACGACCTTTACCCAGGAGTCATCAAAATATGAAGACCCGTGTCGCGCAGGCTGGGCCGTCGAGGGCGGCCGAGAGGGGGGGGGGGGCGGGGGAGCTGACGGGCACTCCTGCCACGTGGCGTTCCAGAGAGCAAAACATGAACGACCTTTACCCCCCCTCCAGGCAACGACCTTTACCCAGGAATCATCAAACTATGAAGACCCGTGTCACACAGGCTGGGCCGTCGAGGGCGGCCGAGGGGGGGGAGGGCGGGGGAGCTGACGGGCACTCCTGTCATATGGCGTTCCACAGAGCAAAACATGAACGACCTTTACCCCCCCTCCAGGTAACGACCTTTACCCAGGAATCATCAAAATATGAAGACCCGTGTCGCGCAGGCTGGGCCGTCGAGGGCGGCCGAGAGGGGGGGGAGGGCGGGGGAGCTGACGGGCACTCCTGTCATGTGGCGTTCCAGAGAGCAAAACATGAACGACCTTTACCCCCCCTCCAGGTAACGACCTTTGCCCAGGAATCATCAAAATATGAAGACCCGTGTCACACAGGCTGGGCCGTCGAAGGCGGCCGAGAGGGGGGGGAGGGCGGGGGAGACGACGGGCACTCCTGTCATGTGGCGTTCCAGAGAGCAAGACATGAACGACCTTTACCCCCCCCTCCAGGTAACGACCTTCACCCAGGAATCATCAAAATATGAAGACCCGTGTCGCGCAGGCTGGGCCGTCGAGGGCGGCCGAGAGGGGGGGGAGGGCGGGGGAGCTGACGGGCACTCCTGTCATGTGGCGTTCCAGAGAGCAAAACATGAACGACCTTTACCCCCCCTCCAGGTAACGACCTTTACCCAGGAATCATCAAAATATGAAGACCCGTGTCGCGCAGGCTGGGCCGTCGAGGGCGGCCGAGAGGGGGGGGAGGGCGGGGGAGCTGACGGGCACTCCTGTCACGTGGCGTTCCAGGGAGGGCCTCGCCCGCAGCTCATCCCTCGCCCTCGGGCGGCGGGCGGCGCGGAAAAGTAGGACGGCGGCGAGCCCGCTGGTGGCCAGCGGAGGCTCGGCAGAGTGGTCGGCGGAGGGTCGGCGGCGGACGAAGCGAGACCTCCGCATGCTTGACTCCCAGGGTTAGGTCGGGCCTGTCCCCCATACAGGGGGATGTTCGACGAAACATAAAAAGAACTGCCCACAAAAATAGTCCAAGCATACTCCAAACATGGTCTGGGGACTATTTTTTGAGTATGGTTTGACCTTTTTGGGCGTATTTTTGGGGTATTTTCATTTTTCCATCGAAAATCCCCCTGTAGGGGGACACGCCCGACATAATGGTAGAAGTGAGATCTCAGCATTCTTGAATCCCAGGGGCAGGGCGATCCGCTCGGGCTCACTGGGCCGACCACCGTGCGCGACGGCAGCGGGGGCGGCGCACGGCGCGTAAGAGGGGGGAGGGTTCTCGCCCTCTGCCCCGGCTGCTGGCGGACATTCGAGGGGAGAAGAGCTTGCTCGTTGCCCTCCTCCTCCTCCTCCTCCTCCTTCACCTCCTCCTCCTCCGTTCTCCTCCTCCCTCAGTGTCAAGGCAAGAAGCGATGGAGGAGGAGGAGGATCTGGCAAGTGCCCGTGCCGCCTCAGAGCTCGAGCCCGCCCCGCGGGGCCTCAGGGAGGCCCCTCGCAGGGCCCCACGGAGCGCACCAGGGCCTCGCGATCCTTGCGGGGGCGAGCGCGGAGCTCGGCCACGCCGCGCGGCGCGCGCGGGGGGTGGCTCTGCGCGCCGCGGGCGGGCGCCGGGCGGCGGTGCCCCGGGAGTGGGCCGCGCGAGGGGGCTCTGCAGTGAGCCGGCAGTGCCCTCCCCAGGTTTCACGGCGCCGCTCCTCGCTGCAACGCGTCCCTGGCCCCCGCCCGCCCCCCCCCCCCCCTTTGGGCCTCGGGAGCCTCGAGGCGGGGGTCCGTGCAAACGGGGTCCGCCAGAGCGCCCGATGGATCCTGCAGGGCCAGGGCCGCACTGTTCCGGGCTCGGGTGCAGGATCTTGCAGGATCCCTCGCGTGGACCCGGGCTTGGTTGCAGGATCTCGCAGGATCTCGCAGGATCCTGCAAGGCCTGGCTGACCCGGGTCTGGAGTGACCCGGGTCAGCAGGTCCCCGAGGGCCGCCCACATGCCGCCGGCCATGGTCTGCGCCCCCCCTCTCGGACGCCCCCCTCTCGGGCGCCCCCGAAGCGTGCCGGCCGTTCCGTCTGCCCGCCGATCGTCACGTCTTCGGACGTGCGACGAGCGAGGCCAATCGGGCAGTCGATCCACCTTCCACGGCAGTTGAGGCCGCCGATTGCGGCTCACGTCTGGGCCAGAGGTGCGCGCTGATTTGAGGAGCCATCTAACTCAGGGGCCGTAGCAGTTCCGCAATTCCAGGCCTCCGAGGCATGATTGGCGTAGGCTGTGGGAGCTTCCAGATGGCGATACAATGAGTTAAGGGCTCCCCCAGGCGTTGCCAGCCTCCCTTGTAGCATGTTCTATCTTTGGATTGGTCGCGTGTGGTCTGCGGTGTTGGAAGGCTCTCGAAGAAACAGTGGCGCCATCGACACCGGATGATGAGCACCAGCCTCGGACGACGAGCAGGCGCCTCCCCTCTTCGCATCCTATTGGTCCTCCTCCTCTTCCTCATTCTTCCTCCTCATCCTCCTCCTCCTTCTTTTCGTCCTCCTCGTCCTCCTCGTCCTCCTCCTCCTCCTCCTCCCTTCTCCTCCTCCTCCTCCTCCTCCTCCTCCTCCGTAGCCATTTTGGCTCAAGCGTCGCCACTCAAGCAACTGGGGCCCGAATTTTTTGGGCCTGCCTCTGTGCAGTCCCGAGGCGCTTGAGGTTTCGTCTCCCCGCGGGAGACGACTGAATCAGAGGCAATCTCCCGCATCCCTCGGCGCCCGCTGCCATGGCGCCGCCACATCGTCGCGGAGGCTGGTCTGCTGCGGGCCCTCCTCCTTGGCGAGATTCTGATGCGAATGGCTACTGGAAGTGCTGCGCTTGCGGCTGTGGCAAGAACCTGGCCCGATACTGGTTCTGCAAGCAGTGCCACGGCAAGCGCAAGGAGGTGGAGGCAGCGGCGCCCCCGCCGCCCAGCGGCGCCTGGGCTGCCCCCTGGGCGGACTGGGACAAGTGGGCAGCCAGTGGGGCCACGTCGGCGGCCCTGCCCGTGGGCCTCCAGGGAGGCACCAGCCCCCCGCCGGTGGCCGGCGACGAGGACAAGCTGTCCGAGGAGGAGCTGCTGCAGCTCATCTCCCTCAACAAGAAGATGGGCAACTCGTCGGCCGCCACGGCCCTCCAGCATCGACTTGACAAGCGCCGCGTCGGCGATGCTCCTGTACCGCTTCAGGCTCAGGCGTACCAGGTCGACCGTCATATCAAGCAGCTGGAGAAGAAGCTTCAGCATGACCTGGATCAGTACACTAAGTGGCAGAACTGGCTCCATGACAAGAAGGAGTCCATCGGTTCTATTCGTCGTGAGCTGGCCGCAGAGGTTGGCAAGTACCAGTCATTGGTGGAGCAGCTGCGCACTCAGGTTTGTCCGCCTCCAGCTGCCCAGCCGAAGGCACGCGTGTCACTCCAGGACCTTTTGTCGGGAGAGAGTGACTTCCTGGACATGTCCAACATGGAGGAGGTGTTCGGTATCGACAGCTCGGTGTACGAGGTGCAGGAGGCCGACGCTAAGGAGCTGGAGAAGCGCACGACCCAGCTCAAGGAGGCCATCCAGGCATCGGCACGCCAGTTGTTCGGAGAGGCGAAGAAGAAGTTCGACGAGCTCAAGAAAGCCCACGCAGCTCATGTCGGCAAGCTGGGCAAGAAGCGTAAGGTTGGTGCTGAAGGTGCGGCTGCAGCAGCGGCACCTGGCGACGACGGCGGGGGTACCAAGCCTGATGCGGCGCCGCCTGCGAGCGGAGGAGGCGAGGGGACCTCTTCAGCGGCGTCGTCGGGGGCGCCACCTTCTGCGTCGGCCTCGGCATCAGCAACGGACCTCCTTGGTGCTGCAGATCGCATTCTCGGTCCACTTGCAGAAGGAGGCCCCCCTGCCAGCGCTTAGCTGGCAGGGGGGACATGACGCACGTGCTGAAGGTAGTCCAGCGGCTACCATTCCCTCATCCCCACTGGAGCCCGACCAGGTTTCGAAATCTCATTGGTCAAAATCGACTGGGAGTACCTGGTCATCGGCGGCGACTTCGGGGTCGACGGGTGAGGCCTTGCACCGTGCGTGTGGGGCCAGCTCTGAGGCATCTGCCGTCGCTTCCAAGTTTTTTAGGTTGCCCCCAGGAGGCGACTTACCTTCTGACCCCTCGAAGTTTTTATCTGTGTCCCCCTGCCCTGATTGCGCGTTCCAGTTGTCGATCGAAACGGTGAACTGTACGAGTTGGTCTTCCATCGAGGCGTGGCTTGTAACCACGTCTGCAAACATCGTTCTCGTGCAAGAGCACCACATCGTATCGGGCGACGACGTAGCCAAGGCAGGACAATGGGCACTAAAGAGGGGTTGGACATCTCGATTCAATCCAGCTATCAGAACCGCTGCAGGAGGCACCTCGGGAGGTGTCGCAATTTTGGTCCGCTCCTTCCTGGGCTTTCACGATCCCGAGTTCGGCCCGATCGTCGTCCCGTCCAGGGCTATGAGTGGAATCGTCCAGGTGCCAGGGGCCGTTACGGTTTTGGTCTCATCGGTTTACCTGTACGACAGCGAAGAGCTTACAAGCAGGAATCTTGACATACTGGCGGCCGTCTCGGCCAGGCACTCGCTCTACGAGGGTCCAAACGTGATAGGCGGCGACTTCAATATGATTCCAGAGGTCCTGGTTTCTTCGGGGGTCCCTGGGTATCTGAAGGCGAATGTTATATACCCTGATATCGGCACATGTTCTAGTACTGGGGGTTTACGAGTCCTGGACTATTTTGTGCTATCGTCAGGTTTTACCCGTTGCATTCAGGAAGTCACCGCCGCCCTCGATAGCGACATCAAGACGCACGCGCCCGTGCGCATTCTCTTCCACCCGCAGTTGGCTGAGCTTAAGGCCCTCACTTTCCTCCGACCGCCGAAGTTGCCAGCGGGGTGCCCGATTGGCCCCGCGCCGTGCACGGAGAATCACGCCCACGTTTTGGACTGCGCCCGAGAAGGGCGAGAGCTTATCCAGAGGCGCGAGTCCAGAGGCAACATTCAGAAGCACCTAGACGTTTTGTACCGAGTTTGGGCTGATGCTGCTGAGTGGGAGTTATCCAGGGTCCTTCAGACGGAGCTCATCATTTGGGGCTCCCGCGGACGTCGGCCTCGTTTGGCCTGGGTTTCGGCTCTGGAGAAAGATTCGCGACCCCCGACTCGTGATCCTGGCCTTGTTGCTGGTAGGTGGCTGTCAAGGACTACAAGGTTCATCTTGGGGGCTTTCGACTCTGGAGATTCTGGAGCGTTTAAGCGTTATAGGGCCCACTTTCTGGATCCCCCTCCTCATGTTCAACGTGCTTGGGAAGGGTTTCAAGATGAATATCGTCTTGGGTGCGAACTCCTCCATGGTTTTCAGGATGTTTGCGAAGACGATTCACGTTTTCGAGAGTTTCACGCTCAACTTGAACCTAGATTAGCAGAGTATGCTAAGTCTTCCTCGCAGCGTTCGTTAAAGGAGTGGCGTAGTTGGCTTTTGGACGGCGTCGACAAAGGGGGAAAAACGCCCACCGCTGGACCCGCGAGCTGAAGCCCTGGGTGGCCACGACCACGCTGTCGGCCGACGGCTTGGTCCTCTCGGATCCCATGTCCCTCCTGAAGTCGGAAGGTGAACGTTTCGGGGCTCTCTGGGAGTCTGCCTCGCACCCGCCGCCCGAGGATCAGGAGCCCCTCGAGTTCTTAGAGCCTTTGGAAGTACTCTCGGCGGACGATTTGATAGCCGTGAGTAAGACTTATGCTTTAGGCACGGCTTCCAGCGTCGATGGGTTTCGCATGCGGCATTTCGCCCTTATGCATCCCGACTTGCTGATTGCCGTCAGCGCCATGTTTTCGATGATGGAGGCCACCAGTCTGTTGCCCCACCCGCCCAGGTGCTGCTCACGTTACTGCTTCAGAAGCCTGCAGGAGGCTACCGCCCGATAGGGCTTTTTTTTTCGGCACTCTATAGGCTGTGGGCTCGCGCTCGGCGCCCTTGCGCAGAGCGATGGGAAGGCCGAACATCAGCGTCTCTATTTGGCTTCAGGCTCGTTCAATTCAGCCTCGGATGTGGTGTATCGTCAGGGAGTAAAGAGCGAACATATAGTCGGTCGAGGGATGAACTGTTGTAAAGTCTTGTGGGACCCATATAAGTTCTACGAAACGATTCGGCTTCCCAAGCTCCTCGACCGTTGCCAGTTGCTCGATTTCCCGATGCAGATCGCCAGGGTATCTCATAGGGCTTATCGTGGGGCTCGTTTCATATCGCTAGGAGGTCTTCTTCATGGACCTCACTTCGCCACGCATGGGGTGGTTGCTGGTTGTAGCATATCGACATCGTACGTCAGGGTTTACATCATCCCAACCGTGGATCCCATCAGGCTCCCCAAGCAGGTCTCCTTAGATATTTATATAGTCGTGGGTGGACAGAACCCCCAACAGTGACACGTCGATTAGTGAATTGTCCGTTTTCGGTTCTCGAGAGGGCGCCGTGGCCGTTATTTTCCAGGCTTGCGCCCGCCAGGTTTGGGCCTCAGGTCGTTTTCACTAAACCACGTTTTACTAAAGGGGGTTCTGTCCATCCCCGATATAGACGACTATGGGCTGTCGAGTTCGGGGACTTCGAAATCGGTCGTGTCGTCTTTGAAGCGGGCCTCGGTGGACCTCCTGGTGGCCCTGGAGACCGATATGGAGGCTACCATTTACACCGATAAGGCGGCAGTAGTGGCTTCTCACGCCGACGTAGGCCAGGAGATGAAGTCGTTTCTCGGAGCGCACGGCGGCCCCTCGGCGGACACCAGCTCTGCTACCAACCTTGGGGTCGACGACGGTGCTGGGAAGGCTCGCCGCACCAAAGGTCGGGGTAGGAAGGCCCAGGCTAGACAGGCTCAGTTTAGAGCACGCTGCCGACGGGTGCTGAAGGCCCGTCAAGCTCTAGGCCGACACACCCGCAGGATTTTTGTTTCAGGGCCGCTGGCATCAGTTACTTACGGTTCAGAGGTTTCTGGAGTTTCTGGCTATGAGTTGGGAATGTTACGTTCTGGATTTGGGAAGTCTGTCAAACCTTCGGCGGGGTCCAGGTCCCTTACTTCGCTGCGTATTCTGGAAGGGGACCCAGTTTATCATGCTGCCTTTTCTCCGATTGCCAGATATTCCAGGGAATTGTGGGATGCCCAGGTTCAGCAGACTCCCTGTGCTCTAGGCTTCGCGGGTCTACGCGACGCTTGGACTCAGACGTGGGCCAACCCGCCAGCTGCGTGGCGGCAGGTGCGGGGCCCCATAGGTGCTATGTTTCTGCCCCTCAAGCGCATCGGCTGGAGCATGCCCAGCTACGCGCAGATGGCGAACGACCTTGGCGTCACCTTCTCTCTCACGACCTCTTCCCCCAAATTGATCAAGAACCTTCTGCGGGAAGCTGTCATTCGTCAACTGTGCAGGCTGCCAGGCGAGAAGCTCGGAGTTGGTGCCAGGCTCTGCTACGATTCTGTGACTCGCGACCTCAGCAGTTCGAAATACACGCCGTTCGAGAAAGGCTCGATCAGAGCCAACGTCTGCGGTGCCTGCTGGACCAAGGAGCGTGCGACCCAGTGTGGTTATCAACTCCAGGACACGTTGCGCTTTGTGCGGCGGGCCCTCGGACTCGATTTTCCACAGGCTTTGGGTTTGTCCTGACCCTGAGGTCGCGGAGCTCAGACAGGAAATTGTAGATCCCGATGTTTTGCAGGCGGCCAATGAGATTGACCCTGCTTCGTGTTCCATGGAGGATGGGATTTTGTTCACCAAGGGTCTCTTCCCACATCCTGGGGACCTTCACCCCCGTCCTGTTCCTGAATGTGCTCCAGGGTTTCGATGGGAGGTATATCAAGAACACGAAGATGAGCAACTGTTTTCTGGTTCTTATGTTTTCATGGATGGTTCTTGTCAGAAGCACGTAGTGAAAGAATTAAGCAGGGCAGGGTGGGGCATAGCGGTTTTCGATTCTCAGCAGGTTTTGAAGCTTAGAGCCTGGTCCCCCCTGTGGGATCGGTTCCCCCAGACCCCTCAGGCGGCCGAGTTCGGGGCTCTAGCTTATTCTAGTCTTTGCCTCACGGACCCTGCTCCAGGTTACACAGACTGTCTGAATGTTTGTAGGGCCTTTAAGTTCGACCGTTCTAAGAAGCTGTCGTACAAGAGGCCTTACTCGGGCCTCATGATTAATGTTTTGGGGGCCCGTTTTTCTGATTTGATCAAAGTGAAGGCCCATGTGGCCGAGTCGGACGATCTCTCCCCCGAAGAGCGTTTCTTTAAAATCGGGAATGACGAGGCTGATCGATCAGCCAAGCTTGGGGCCGCTGCTCACCCCAGGTGTACTGATGAGCAGCAGACTAAGCTGGATTGGCAGCTCAAGGTGTCGCGCACAGTCTCACGCCTTGCGGCCAAAGTTCTCGTTTCTTGGCCCCGTCTGGACCTCGCAGACGTTCCCTACATCGCTCCTCCTCGCCATCACCGCCTTGGGGCTGAGGTGCCTGAGGGAGAGCATGTCTGGGTTTGGGTCAAGTCTTTTTGGAGGTGCAATCGTTGTCTCAGATTTCGCAGGCAAGCAGCGCGCCCCTCGTGCGAGGGCTGCGCAGGAGACCTGCCTCTGGTTGCCCGTTCTGTGATTGAACGGGGTCATTCGTGTCTGGCGCTCGAGTGCTCGAACGATCAGATCTTAATTATCTGCACCCGCTGCAAAGCGTTTTCGACCCGCTGACAATTTAAGCAGCTCCGCCATGAGTGCACACGCCCACTCGCAAAGGCAGCGGAGTATTGGTCCAGGGTGGAGCGCGGCTGGCACCCGAAGGAACGCATTCGGGTGGAGACAATCCCCATCAGGGAATAATGCTGGTGGCTGGCAGGGCGCTCGTCGAAAACTCCTCCTCCTCCTCCTCCTCCTCCCCCTCCGCCTCCGCCTCCCCTTCAGAACTATACGTGACTTCAGTGCGCGTCCCGTGTGATTCTGCGGCCGCCTGTGCTCGATCGTCCCATGTAGAGCGGAGCACTGTTGTGCACCCAAGCGCTGCATTGCTCGATGTGTTGGCAGTCGTTTCAGCGAGCACCATCTCAGAGTGAGGGACGGAATGGTGGATACCTCTTCGCATGCTCGCCAAAGCCGGCGTGGGGTGAGATTGCGTTCGTGTTTCAGCTCAGGGGGCTGTGTTTGTCTGCGCGGTCGTCCGAGATTGTTCGTGCGTGTATCTTGTTGCCAGCCGTGTCTTCATCGCTCCGAGATGGTTGCGTTTTTCCTCTAGCATCTAAAGAGCGATTGTTGTAAGTGTTGGCTATGTCGTTGGCCGAGGCCCCTTCACGCCCAAACATCTCTCGAATCAGCTGCACACCGTGGTACAGTACGTGTGTTGCCGTGTGGTGTTGCGGTGTCGACTTCGTTGTCCGTGTGGCGGTGTGTGGTGGTGCTGGATGGGGGGAGGGGGAGAAGCGGGAGGGGGAGGGGCAGAATGTGGAGCAGGAGGAGGTCGTGTGGTGCCACATGGTGCCGTGCGGCCAGCCTCGGTCCGCCTCCCGCCACTGCTGCGCAGTGGGCGCCGGGCCGGATCCGTCGAACGTGCGGTGCCGTGTGGTAGCGTGTCGGGAGTGTTGGTTGGGTCAGCGCTGGGCTCCCCGTCCCCGCCACCGCCGTGCTCCGAGCGCCAGGGAATGGGGCTCTGGAGAGGGCGAACGAACAACACACCCATACCCATAGGGGGGTCGTTGGGAGGGGTGTGGGTTGTCGGACCCTGAGGAACGCTCCCGTTCGAGCGGGGACCTCCATCCGACAACACGCACCCATAGCCCTCTCCGACACCCCTATGGGTATGGGTGTGTGTTGTTGGTTCGTCATGGAGAGGGGGGGCAGCGCTGGCCCGAGAAGACCTCGCGGACCTCCGGAAGTTTGTGTGTTATGCAGCGGCGGTACACTTCAAGCGTGGCGTTTCTGTGGCTTCGTGTCGCACTCACTGTCAGGGCGGTGCCGTGTGCTGCCGTGTCGAAGCTCTTGTTCTTTGGTGGTGCGTGGTGCCGAGTGGATCCCGTTGCCCGTTGGTGGTGTGCGGTGTCGTGTTGGACTTGTTGCCCGTGTGGTGCCAATGTGGCGTCGTGTCGAGCCCGCTGTCTCTCTGGTGCCGTGTCGACGTCTCTCTCTGTGTGGTGCCGTGTGGTAGGGCGTCAAGTTTATCAATTGTGTTGTGTAGTGCCGTGTCGTGTGCCGTGTCGAACCAGTTGCTCTTACGGTGCCGTGTGATCCCGTGTGGGACCCGTTGCCCTTGTAGTGCGGTGTGGTGTTGCTAGATGTGTGGGGTCTCTGTGTTCATACTGTTGATCCAGCGTCCGAGACGCCCGAAGGATTTCGGAGGTGGTACTTTGACTGTGGTCTCAGACGCCAGCGCGAGAGACGGCACGAAGATCCGCATGACAGGTCTCGCTATGTGCCGAATTGTCATAGCTCGCCGAATTGTCACAGCTTGCCGAATTGTCGCATGCTACGTCACTATATACGACCATTGTTCGCTACATGTCCCAAGCAATATCTGCACTTACGGATTCTTACTTCTGTTCTAATGTATTGGGCATGTCTGTCAGTCTGGCGTCTATGTAGCCGCCGTCGCCACCCTGTCGCCGCTTCTCCGCCGCCAGTTGTCAGCGCCTGTCTGTCGGGTTGGCGGCTCTGTAGTCTCCGTCGCCACCCCGTCGCCGCCCCGTCGCCGCTTCGTCGCCGCACTAGATCGCACCACATATATAGCACCTTACCACTATAGATGTCATATATATAGAATTGCACCACAAGTGTTGCACCATTTAGATTGCACCACAGTGCGTGCACAACACAAAGTGCACCACTTAGATTGTGCAACACGAACGCATCACATGCGTTGCGCCACATGGATTGCACCATATGTATATATATACATATGTAAACGGATAGACATAAACATATACGTATCTATATGCACATGTAATCAGGCATACACATAAATACATACATACGTACGTACAAACATACATATATGCATAACTACATATACAATTACACATGCTTCACAATATGATTCGGTCTCGTCACCGTTATTTCTTTTGGCGGCGCCCTCAGCATGTTTCTCGCCCGCTGCGGACGCTCGTGTTCTTTCCCCCCATGGGGGGGATGATGATGATGATGATGATGATGCTGATGATGATGATGATGATGATGATGATGATGATGATGATGATGATGATGATGATGATGCTGATGATGATGATGATGATGATGATGATGATGCTGATGCTGCTGCTGATGATGATGATGATGATGATGATGATGATGAGGAGGAGGAGGAGGAGGAGGAGGAGGAGGAGGAGGAAGTGGAGGACGAAGGAGTTGAAATGCACGAGGACACGCAAGAGCGGGACGGAAGCAAACACATGGAAACGGGAAGCAATCGCACGCAACCTGTGTCATAGGCAAAGAAAAAACGGTTCGGCTTAGACCCCCGTTGAACCTCCAGTGTTTGGAGGCATGGGCAGCCCAGCGTAGGAAACCGATGCCTACGAGAGGGGTTCGGGGGCGAACCAGCAGCACCAAACCAAACAGCGGCTTCACAAGATCGGACATAACAGCTGGCGGCGACCTTCCGCCGCGCGGCCTTTGACTAGGTCCGCGCGGCGGCCCGCCGAACGACTGAACAGCACAACAAGAAAGAAGGCGTCCTGAAGGCCATGATGTAAACGGACACGCCACAACCCAACACCACATGAACGCCACGCATGAGCGACACGACCCGGAAACGCAGTATCTCACACGAGTGCGGTATTGCGTTCCCGAGTCGCGCCGCTCCTGCGTGGCATTCAATGGCGTCTCGCTTCCGCGGCTCGTCCACGGAAGGCGTTTCAACGAGCGCGCGCGGAAGGCCAATAGCGCACGGGCCGAGACGAAGTCCTGGAAGGACAAGGCAAAGGCCGCTTGGACGACGCCAGCAGCTGGGAGCTTGGGTTTTGAAGGATCTCGGCGGCAATCCCTACCACCGTTAATTTTTAAAAACGCAACAGCACCAATCATGCGCCCAGGAGAAAAAAAACGGCGCGAGGAAGCAGGGAATACAGAGGCCATTGCGCAGGCCGAGTCTACGAAAGTGCAGGCGCAGCTGTGCCAGAAATCGGTGCGCCCCAAGGCCGACGGCACTTCGCACGTGCCACGAAGACCGCGAGCGGCGGACACGCAGTAGCAACAGTCGGGCGCGATTGGCGTCTCTCGCGCAGCAGGACGCCACCGCAGGTCGTCCTCCCATGGCCTGCAGCAGCGGCAGCGGAGAGCGCGCCCGCGACTGGGACGCGGCTGCGAACGAGAGGCAGCGCCAGCGCCTCCAGAACAGGAGCGCGTGGATCGGGGAAGCGGCGCAGCGTTGGGGGTCCCGGGACGCCGCAAGGCGGGCAGCAAGCAAGCGGCGCCGCGGCTCGCGGCAGGAAAAGGCCAGCGCATTTCGCGATGCCTTCTTGGAGGGCCTCGCGGCCTCGCCCATCATCTTCTTATCCCCGTTGCCTCTTCCTTCCCTTGTCGCCCCCTTCTTCCTTTTCAAAAATGCCATTCGCGCACGTTGGCTTAACAAGAACCAGGAGTGTAACAAAACAACCATTTGCAACACAATGAGGCGAAGTGCACGCGCGCGCGTCGTCGCGAGCATGCCGCAATCCGTCAACAACGCTGAGGTTTCGTGCGGATTTCAAAATCGATTGCCCCGCCATGATTGTTACTTAACAAATGGTCTCGCACCATGCGTTAGCTCGAGATTTTGAGAATGGGCGCCGTCATCGTCGCCCGCGTGATCAGCATCGGCGTTGTCATTGGTAGTGTCGTCGGCATCGTCATCGTCGCCACCATCGCCAGTGCGGTCATGATCACGTCCACCGTTGTCGCCGTCGCCACGACGCCGCCAGCGCCGAGCAGTCATCGCAATCGCCGCTGCATGCGTCGCGCAAACCAAGTGGTGGGCGGGCGGGCGCGACGACTGCGCGAGCAGTCGAGTTAGCGACCTTGAGTTCGGCGCGGCGAATCGCGCCACATAGAGCATCCTCAAAAATGGAAAGAAATAACTAAAATCTGCCGCCGTCATTCCTGGACTTATCGGTCAACGCTGGGATGCGCCAGCGGCGCATATTTCTGCCTGCCCCATGGTTCGTTTCATTCTAGGTCTGAATCCACGCCGCCCCAGCCAAGCCGACATCGACCCCTCCCCCTCATCCTCGTCAAATGATACGATGCGCGCGCACTCTGTCACCGACGATCATAAGTTTGCAATCGCCCCTTGCACAACGTGGAACGAAGTGCACGCTCGCGCGTCGTCGCGGGCGCATGCCGGAGTCGCTCAACAAGCTCAGGCGTCGCGTTGGTGTCAAAATCGAATGCCCCAGAAAACAGATCAAGAACACATTGTCTTGCAGCAGCAAGGGTTTTCAAAGGAGGTCTGCGCGCGCTCGCGCGAATTCCTGAGAGGACCATTGCGCTGCGATGCTGCGCCCGCCGGGTTGCCGACTCGCGGTGAAGCGCCCGCGCGCCAACGCGGCCCGAGAGACGCACAGGGAGGTGCCCGGTGATCAGCGCCGCCGCGGCCGAGTCGGTCGCGGCCGACTGGTTAGCCGCTCTGCGCGCGAGCCTGCGCGCGCCTGCGCGGCCGCGGCGACGTGCCAGCCAGCGCCAAGCTGTCATCGCAATCGCCGCCTCATTGGTCATGGAAACCAAGATGCGGGTGGGCCGGTGGGGCGTTTGCGCGTGCAGTGGAGCTGACATTCGCAAGTCTGGTAGGGTGAGTAGCGCCACGTAGGTTGCACCGCGTTGAGTGCGCCGCACAGTTAGCACCGCCAAGACTCCCTTGAAACAGAATTCGGACCTGGCTGCCAAATCGGACCCTCAGAGGTCCGATGTGCGCACCCACCTCCTGCGATCATTGCCCCCCTCCTGGGGATGTGCAAATTGCATATGATGTTGCCCCGTCGCTCATTCTCAACTTGAACTCGTACCATCCCAGCTAAGCCGCCCCCCCCCCCCCCACACCATTGGCCTCGCCGTCGTCATCGTCGCCGTCGCCGCGGGCATCGCCATTATCACCATCGCGTCTGCTTTAGGCAACGTCGCCCAGATGCGACGCCCGTCCGAGTCGCCAGCTCGCATCGAGGCGCCTGCCCGTCAGCGCGGCCTGCGAGACGCAGCGGGAAACTCCCGGCGGTCAGCGCCGCCGCGGCCGCGTCGGTCGCGCCGAACAAGCTGGCCGCTTTGCAAGCGAGCCTGCGCGAGCTAGCGCGGCCGCAGCGATGCGCCAGCCAGCTCCAAGCAACCGTCGCAATCGACGCCGCATGGGCCTTGACAGACAAGTTGCGGACGGGCCAGCGGGGCGATTGCTCGAGCAGTGGGATTGGCGACTCGCTGCGAACAACAAATGAATGATTACGCCGCATGGGTTGCATCATATAGATTTTCTTTATTCAAGAGGAGCTCGGATCAACCGCCCGCCCCTGCCCCCCGCCAGGCTTATCGATGCGCCCTGTGGATGTGCAGTTCACCCACGATTGTGCCCCATCTTATTGGCAAGGATGAACGAGTACCACGCCAACCAAGCCACTATCGGCGCCCCCTAATTCTCCGTGAAGAATTCGCGCACGTTCCTCTTTTCCACAAATCATCCATCATCCATATTCGGCAATCCGTTGCAACAGCTGTGACGAAATGCGCGCGCGTCGTCGCGCGCGCATGCTGGACATTATTTGTATGTTTTTTTTGGTATGTGAATTTGTTGGTTTCGCAGCGATTTCATAATCGAGTGCCCCGAAACACATAAAACACATGGTGTTGCAACATGGTTTTTCTCCGACAAAAAATCTGTGCGCTCATGCGGCTTTTGTTTAACAGGAAATGGTTTTCCAACGTGTTCATCAAATGTAACCAAAGGGGCCTCCTCCCGCGCGTCTGTCGATCTCGTTGGAACGCCCTTGCACGCGTGCAGGGGAGGTGGGGCACGATCCTTTGCAAGTGATGCCATGCGGGCCCGTTGGCTGCGCGCGCATGTCGACATCCCCCCAAAGCCTTCATCACCGACACGTGGACACCATCATCGTCATCGGCGTAATCAGCGTCGGCGCCGTCATTGGCTCTCTTGTCATCATCATCATCGCCACAAGCATCGCTACAATCATCATCGTGTCCGCCGTCGTTGACTTGGCCATGATACCGCGCCCGCCCGAGACCGAGTCGCGTTGACGTGCCCGCGTGTCAGCGCGGCCTGCGACACGCGGTGGGAATTCTCCAGCGGTCAGCGTTTCCGCGGCCGCGCTGGTTGTTCCATGCTAGGTGGCCATTTTGCGCGCGAGCTTGCGCGCTAGCGCAGCCGCAGCGCTGCGCCAAACAACGCCAAGCAGTCATCCCAATCGCCTCCGCATGGGTTTCGAAAACCACATTGCGAGTGGGCGGATGGGGAGATGATTGCGCGAGCACTGGATTTGTCAATTCGCTGCGAATGAAAATAGTTGCGCCACATAGGTTGCACCAACAATAGCTTGCACCTCGTGGCTGACCCCATTTCGAGCGTACCACGTGGTAGTACATAGACCATACTTTGTGGCCCACACTTCTAACATATAGACATCTGCACAATGTCGTTCAGGTCTTCCGGCCCACATCGAGTGGCAGGACGTCAAGGATTTCTGCAGCCAGATCGGGAAGATAGCGTTCTGCGAGGCGGCGCGCTCGCCTCTCTTGTTGTTGCGTTCTGCTCTGCTGATGTTCATGTTCGCCTGAGCAGCTGGAGCCGTCTGGAGCCGTTCTGGAGCACGGCGCGTCGCATTACATTTGGGAGTTCCTTTCTTCAGGTAAAACTCGATTGGGCCCTTTTGAGGCCGCAGCGCTGCCAGAAACGGTTCGGAATAATGGGCATGTTTTAGGTTGCGCCCCGCCGTCCAGGACCCGTATCCACGAGAACCTCCCTCCCTCATGCGGGGTGGTCGCTTGTTTTGTATTTCCCTCTCGTGCCCGTCAGATGGGCAGGATTGAAGGAGACGAGGGAGGGGAGAAGATGGGCCCCTTTCCCTCCTTTCCGCCCTCTAAGAACGATGGCTAGGTGCCAGCACACCCGAATGCCAGCGGTGACCCTGACCCAAGGTGAACCCATTTTGCCCAG